GAGAAGGGCCAGTGGCCTCCCCTTTCTCTTCGCGGCCAGAGGACTCCCCGTCTCCCCCACCCTGAGTGCTGTCACGCTGACCCCAGGACCCAAGGGGCAGTTTCCAGCGTCATTCAGGAGAACCTCCCGGTGTAAAAGACAGTGTTCCCGGACAGCAGCTTCCAAACTGAGCACGCTGCGCTGCAGAGTCTTGCAAGCTTCGCTGCATGTCTCGGGCCTCTGGGTCCAGAGGCAGCGGCCTTCCTGACCGGTCTGCTGTGGGAGGCGGTGCAGGGGGCTGCGGCTGCTGGTGGCCGGCGCCTGGGGCCTCCGCGGGGGCCGGTTTTGCAGGGGCACGAGGGCCCTGCTGGCCGCCGTCGCGGTGTCATTCAGGCTTGGGAGTTTGCCAGAAGGTTAGATCCCCCAGAGCCCGCCCTAAGTCAGGGCAGAGGCGGGCAGCAGCAACCCCACCCTGCTGCCGACGCAGCGTGGCAGGCCGGCGTGCCCTCTGCCTGCGGGCCGTGGACAGGCCAGCAGCGCGACCGGCCTTCGGGAAAGTTGGGGTGGGGGGGTGGCGCAGCCGAGGCGCCCAGGAAGGCCAGCGGGGACACTGGCCGCTGGGGGCCCCGCCCCTCCCTGCTCTGAGGCCAAGTGTCCACCGTGGGGCGTCCTGCAGGCGTCCAGGGCAGCAGCATCGCCGTCGGGCATGCTTTCCTCCCTGCGCCCCTGTGGCTGGCCAGCACTCGCCCGCTCTTGACCCGCACGTCCATTATGAAGTGGCCCCAGCGCTCCTGCTGCCACGCACGCCACTGCCTGCGGGAGGGCCACTGCGGATGGCGGCCGTGGGGACGGCCGCCTGGACCCAGCTCTGAGCCCCAGCCCCAGCCCCTGGCCTGGCTGGCCATGGCCCCCCAACGCTGCCCCCAGCCGGCCCAGGCTGGCCTCTTGGCGGCCACCCAGGGTCTCCGTGCTCAAGGCCCAGCGCTGCTGACAGCAACCAGCTCCCCCACACCCCGCTGTCCAGTCACTGTGGATCCGTCTGGGGCGCGGCAGGGGTGCGCATGCCCCCAGGACCCCACCTGCACGGTGCCCAAAGAGAGCCTGGGCGAGCCCGGGGCCAGGCCTGCGGGGTGGGGGCAGGACAGGCCCTGCCCACGTCCCTCCCGTGCCCACTGCAACGGTGGCTTCCTGCAGTCTCCGGCCTGCCCGTGCGGAGATGCAAGACCTGGGGTTGAGGGATCCGGGACGGGGGGGCAGGGGCCTTCGGGGGTGGCGAGGTGTCCCGAAGGGCTCTGCGCCCCGCAGAGGCGGGTCTGCAGGGGCTTGTGGGTGGGTGGTTAGGCCGCAGCACCGGGGGTCTGAGGGCGGGGCTGGGCAGATTGGGCAGCCCTGGCTGTCCTGGGCCGGTGGGGCCAGGCGGGGCCCTCCCCTGGGCTCGGCTGGGCTGGGTGGCCAGGTGGTGTCTGCAGAGCGCTGGGCCAGCACGTTGAGTGTGTGGTTTTATTTTTTAGGCAAAAGCAAGGAAGCAGAAATAAAGAGGATAAATAAAGAGCTGGCGAACATACGGTCCAAGTTTAAAGGTGAGCGTTTCACCCAGCAGTCGGAGCCGGGCGGCTGTCTCGGGGCACGAGGCCCTCGGTGGCCTCCCTGCCTGCTCCGCCCCTTGACGTGCGTGAAACCCCTGGTGGGCTCATGGCCACGCCGGTGTCCTCTCCGGGCCGGCCCAGGTGTCCATCTGTCCACCACGTGGGCCTTGGGGTACTGCATGCGAGCGGGGGTCCCACCTCCCTGGGTCCCTGGGGTGCTCCCGCTGGCCACAGGCGCAGGGTCTGGCCCTGGGCATCTGAGGAGCATGGTGCCCGGTGCGCACTGGGGCTATGAGCAGCCCCCTGGTGGCCGTCCAGCTGCCGCCTGGGCGAGGGCCCGCGGGGCCTGGCCGGGGCAGGTCTCCACTGCAGGGTGGGGTCGGGCTGGGGGGGCAGGTGCCTCCCACAGCCCCGCTAGTGTGGAGACCGTGCCCTGCCTTGTCCAGGACTCCCAGGGGAGGGGCAGACCGCCCTGGCCCTGGCTTGCCTGGGTCTGTTTGCAGCAAGGCCTGCGGGGGGTGGCCACCGAGGGTGGGCGGTGGCCCCCAGCCACGGAGCTCCCTGGGCGGCCCCTGGGCGAGCAGACGGTGGGCTGTGGGCAACGGCGCTGTGTGGCCGCATCTGTGCCTGGCTGGGGTCGGGGAGACTCCCCGATTCCTGCCGCCCCACGCCTGCCGGCCTGTGCGGAGCTGCGGGGTGCCTGCGGGAGTGTGGGCGCCAGCCTGGCGTGGGGCGCGTGGCTCTCCCTGGGGCCGGCCGCCGGGTCAGCACCGCCGCAGACAGGTATGCCCACCTGGGGCCCCCGCCGGGCTTCCTGCGCCTGTGGCCACACTCGCTGGGCGCCGGGGCAGGGGCCGCATCCCTGGGGACGCTCGGCAAGACCCAGAGGCGGTTTGGCGGCCTGTTGGGGTGGAGGGGCCTCGCAGGTGGAAGCCCGTGGGGAGCCCAGCTTGGGACAGCAGGAGGAGAGTGGCCGGGCCTGGGAGGAGCAGCCGCCAGAGCGCCGGCCGCGCGCCCCGGGGCCTGCGGGACGAGCGCCCTGGGCAGCGGCCTCCCGGCAGCAGGCCTCCGGCCGGCGGGCACGGGACACGGGCTGGCGCGTCGGACCCAGGCGCACATGCAGGTGTCGCGAGCAGAGCTGGCAGCGCCCCGCGAGCCCCGCAGTGGCCGAGCCCGGGGGAGCCCGGTCCTGCGGCGGAGAGCGGCCTGCAGGAGGCTGGGCAGGCGAACACGACCCGGCAGGCCTTGGAACAGGTCGGACGGGCGCTGGGGCTGAGATGTGGGGCCGCCCAGAGGCACGCGGGGTGGACACGGCGACCGGCACCCCGACAGACGTGTGCCTGAGGCCGGGCTGGGCGCCGTGACCTCCGGAGCGGTGGGCATGAGGCGACGGGTCTTCAGGCTGGTGTGAGTTCAGCGAGCTGGACCAGCACCCGAGAACCGGACGGGAATGCCGGCCGGGCGGCTGTACTCACGGGGTGCCGGCTGGGGGGCGGGGCTCTTTACACACGGTGGGGGACCCCCCACGGGCCTGTGCTGGCGGGCGGCTTGAGGGTGTTTGTTGGGGTGTCTAGCTGGAGCCAGGCTCCCCGGGGGAGTCCCCAGAACACAGCAGGGTGACGGTGGGTGCTCCCATAGCCCCGGGAGCCGGGACCCGCCAGGAGTGGAGCCCCAGGCCACAGGTGGCTAGCGTGCAGCCTGAGTGCCGAGGTGGGGGCTCCCCAGCTCCCTCCTGTGAGCCCTGAAAACCGCTGGGCAGCAGCTGCGTGCCCTGCATAGAGATGGCCTGCCCTCGACCTCGGGAGGCCATGGGCCCAGACGCGGGTCCCCAGCCCCAATGCTGAGCGGGCCTGATGGCGCAGGCCCCGCTGCTCTGCCTCAGCCGGGGAGCTGTGACCGTCGCTGTTTGAACCGCACTCGCTGTGAGGTGCCACAGTGGGTGCTCTGAGGGGCGTCCCGCCCCACCCCCGGGCCCCAGCCCGGCCTCCTGCCAGGCCGGCGACCGCCTCCCAGATGTTGCTGGACGTCCCCGAGTGTTGCTGGCCATCCCCAGGCATCCGTGGGCGTTGCTGGACATTCCTGGGCATCCCCGGATGTCCCCAGGGCCTGAGCCTGGGCTCCCGCAGGCTGGGTCCGCACCCCGCCACGGTGGCTAAGTCCTGGGCTGGCCGGGCCCAGCATGCCACTGAGAGAGCTCAGCGCTGTGTCCTTGCCCGCCAGGGCTGCAGCTGACCGGTGCCCGAGACCCGGCGACATGTTCACCCTCACTGGTGTGTGGTGGAGCCAGCCTGAGCCTGTGCGGGCGCCTCATGGGCAAGGGGCTGGTGTCACCCTGGTGCTCTGCCCGCCCGGTGTGGCCCCCATGATGCCTTGCTGCCCCGGGGCTGCTGCCCAGCCTGTGGGCGTGCAGAGCAGGGCAGGGTTGGCCACACTGTGGGGCCCGGCAGTGTCCTCCGGCCGGCATGTGCCCAGCCTCCGCGGGGCCTGTCCCCTAGCACCCTTGGGGGCTGCCAGTGTAGGTGCTGCAGGGGCCCCCTGAGCCAGAGGCCTGGGCCCACCCCGTGTGGGCGCTCTCCCGGGCAGGTGGCTGTGCCAGGTTCTGCCCGGGGTGGCTCTCGGGCGCCCCCGCCTGCGGCCCCGCCAGACTGAGGGCCTCGCCTCCCCTGGCGCTGTCCTGGGGCGGAGTGTCCCTGCCTGCCCAGCCCCGCCTCCCGCAGGTGACAAAGCCCTGGACGGCTACAGCAAGAAGAAGTACGTGTGCAAGCTGCTCTTCATGTTCCTCCTGGGCCACGACATCGACTTCGGGCACATGGAGGCCGTGAACCTGCTCAGCTCCAACAGATACACGGAGAAGCAGATCGTGAGTGGGGCGGGCGCCGGCCAGGCCCCAGGGCAGCGATGCCGTGCGGGGCGTTTCTGGGGAGGGCCACGACGTCCCGCACCTG